CAGCGAAAGCCCCAACATGCAAGAAGGTGAAGTGGCCGAGGCAGAGGGAAGTTCCTGGTTTCCACGTTTATAAGAAGGCCACATCCCTAAGCAGACATCATCAGACTGTGACCTGATTGTCAGGTTGGATTCTACCCCTCTACTTTCATACATCCTCAAATTGACATAAAATCATCTCACTTTCACACACGCTATGAGAGGAAGTGGGAGGGGGAAGCCTGCTGTCTTCCTGAAGTATGATGGCGTGATAATTAGGTTTTGTGTCAACTTGGCTGAGCCAAGACTCTCGTAGTGTCACAGTTGAAGCCTCCTCCATGATGTGAATTGAACACAATATCAACAACTCCATGATGTAATCTACTGTGAGCCGCAAAGCAGTGAAAAAGAGGATTAGGGAGGAGTGCAGTCTTGTTTCTCAGGTCACCTTCCTGCTGTAATTGAAAGGAAGCTTCCTTGGGGCTGTGGCCTCCTCCTGTTTAAGTAGGTTTAAGTTTCTCTTCTTGCTGTCCTGAATCCTGAACCTGGTTCATATGTGGGAAACAGAAGGACTTCTCCCAAGTTGTCTCCCCAAAATATATGCCAGACTTAGCTTGAGAATGACTATACACTTCGAGGCCATCAGGAGTAGATTAGGGGTCATTTTCCTTAAGAGCTATCAGACATCTGGAACAAGTAAACACCACTGTTTATCCCACAACAAGCAGGGCCCACTCCCTTCTGATAAGGATAGTAGTTGTCTGTTTCCTTGTAGGAGACACCAGAGAGGTCAAACCCACCCAAGGATGACCAAGGATAGGTAGCCATTATGAATCTAGGGTCCTCCCATCTTGTCACATGTATGACTCTAGACCTTCCCATTCCTATGGGCACACCCCTAGCTCATCCCCTTCCTGTTACGCTTATGCCTATCATAGATCCCCTTCCTACAATGTGTACGCCTATTGTACTGCCCCTTCCTGTGAAGTGTGATTCTATAATCATGCCCCCAAAAGGTATATAGGCATGCGTCAGCAATATAGAGCTATCTGACATCTCTCTCTGGGCGCTCCCTGGTCGCTCCCCTCACTTCCCCCTCTCCTCTCCAGTCCTCTCTCCCTCGTTCCCTTGCCCTCCTTCCCTTCCCCCTCTCTCCATGTGGACCACCAAGCTGGGCTGAGGTGAGCAATGCTACCATAAGATGTGTCTGACTGCATTATTGTATCTCTCATGCTCTCGATGACTTTAATATAATGCTTATATATCTCAACCATACAATTGTGCTTACTGAACCCGTAGGTAGTAGCAGTGGGTGGGGCTGGCCCTTCCCCTCCCCTCCAAACTTAGTTTAATACTACAGTTCATAGACCTACCTTATTGCCAGCCAACCCTGGGAGCTATCAGCCGCCTGCCATATTGTCTGCCAACCTAGGATTCATTTGACTCCGCAGTCAGGAGCCTGACTTGCTTCCTAATTTGCCGTCCTGCTTCTTGGTTTGTCAGTCCAGGTAGACATACCAATCAGGAAAAGCCACAAGCCTGACTTGCTGACCTTGAATTCATCCATCTATGCCTCCACCAGCCTGTGGCCTTCCTGCTTCATCTTCTTATTCCTTGTTTGACAGCCCTGCAGCCACATGAGTCAGGAAAGCCTCCTGTTTAACATCCAACCCACGGACTTGAACCAGACTGGACTTAACCACTTTTACGATTGTGTGAGCCACTTTATTGGGTGTCTTCTGTATGGACCTACCCACTCTTTACTTTGTTGTATGTGGAGTCTCATCTTCAGGATGAGCACATCTCATGTTTCCCACAAAGGAATAACTCGAGTGTGTGCGTGTGTTTATTGTCTCGATAGGCTTTTAAGACCCAAGAAATCCTCATTAAAAGAAGCTGGATACCATTTGCTTTTTGCTGGATGCTTACCTTGATAAGCCTTTAAGATCTGAGGCTCAATTAGGCAGATATCCAGGCAAACCAGATATCTTGGACCGCTTCTGTGATCTTTTTAAAAGAAGGGGTGTGTGCAGCAGATGAGAAAATAAATAACAGAGGCTTAGTAAAACTAGGACCCGTATGTGCATCAAAAGGTTTCAGCAAAGGAGTTAAAAGAGAACCCACAGAGTGGGAATCATTTTTTGACAATGATACAACAGGCAAGGGACTAAACTCTAAAATCTATGGAAAGCTGCAACACCTCAATAAAAGCAAAAGAAGATGAATAAACCAATAAAAAGAGGGCAAGGACATGCATAGACAGTTCATCAAAGGTGACATCCAAATGGCCAACAACCGTATGAAGAAATGCTCACAATCCTTAGGCATCCGGGAGATGCAAATCAAACGATCTATGAGATACCACCATACACGGGAAAAGATAGCCAAATTAATTTTTTTAACAGAGCCACAATAAATGCTGGAGAGGCTAAGGAGAGATTAGAATGTAATTATACGCAACCACGGTGGGAAGCAAAATGGTGCCAGTGGACAAAACTGGAAATAGAAATGTCACAGGAGCCAGCAAACCCTCTGCTCCAGAAGGAAGAGTCAGATCAGGAACAGACATGTCCACCTATGTTCATGGCAGAACTGTTCGCAATAGCAAAAAGATGGAAACCATCTAACGTCCGTAACCAGAAGAATGGATGAAGAGACTTTGGTACATACACACATGCCTCACTAAAAACAGTAATAAGTCCACAAAGCACTTCATCGCATGTATGGGCCAGGAGAACATTATGCTAAGTGGACTTAGCCAATCACAGAAGACAAATATTCTATAAGACTACTGTTACAGAGAAAGAAACACCCCCCCCCCACACACACACACACACAAACTACTGTATCAAAGAGAACTTTGGTTCAACTTTCCTGGACATTTCCTCACAAACGAGTTTTAAAAAATCATTTTATTGGGGACTCTTACAGCTCTTATCACAATCCGTACATCCGTCCACTGTGTCAAACACACACAGATGAGTTTTTAATGAAGAAAAACCCCAAACTTTTAATAAACTCATTTTCTTCTGTTCTTTGAGAAAGTAGATCAAGGTCACCTCATTGGAATCCCTGAAAACAGTTAGCATAACCTTCTGAGCTAGCCTCTCTGCACTGAATTTAACTGGCCCAGCAGAGCCCCTTGGAAGTCATTGTTTTTATTGGAGTTTTTTCTTGGGAGCTAATATACATATCTTATCATTCCATAGTACATTCACTATGTGCAGTCCTTTTTCTTTTTTGGTAGGCACCCTAATGAGATGACACCAAGTGTATTACAGAACATGTCTGTGGTGGTTACATAATCTGGTGTCAATGTGAGACTATCAAGAATGAAGGGGTGGAGTTTAGCCTGTCAATCAGGTCGCAGCTTGATGATCTCATTTGGAAGCACTAAGGAGATAATTAGCTCATTAGAGGTGGGGCACACACACTCTCCCTGCAAGACATTCCTGCTGACAAGCCACAGGGAGCCAGAGCCCTGGAGCTGGAGGAGCCATGTGGAGACCCACACCAGC